CATCTAAACTTTGCAGAAGTGGCCTACAGTTATTTTAGCCCATGTGGGCAGTGTTCCATTCCTGGGTTTCATTATTCTTCAGAAGACTGTTTAAAGGAAGGCTCATTTCAATATGCGGAGAAAAATACGCAGAGAAAAATACAGAGAGCAAAACCAACCCCTGTATATGGCGTTCATTGGACTAAGGCTTTCGACACTGTAAATCATAATGCCCTGTGGACTGTCCTTCTGAAAACTGGCTGCCCAGATAAATTTGCAAACATCATTCAGCTCCTCCATGATAATATGACAGCAACAATGGCTCTCAAAGTGAACCATTCACAGTGGTATCAGGTGTTAAACAGGGTTGTGTTATTGCCCCAACTCTATTCATTGTTTTCATTGCCATGATCCTACACTTTGTCAAAGGGAAACTCCCCACCGGAGTAGAAATCATATATTGAACAGATGGAAAGCTCTTCAATCTGAGCAGGCTGAAAGCAAAGAGAAAGGTTACCGTAACTTACGTCATAGAACTTCAGTATGCTGATGACAACGTAGCGTGCACATGCTCAGAGGATGACCTCTAAACCATCCTAAATATCTTTGCAGAAGCTTACTAAAAGCTTGGCCTACCACTCAACATCCAAAAAACCAAAGTGCTGCACCAACACGTACAAAATAACCACTCTATGCTTGTGAAACATGGACCACTTATAAAAGCCATCTCTAACCATCAATGGTGTCTCCAAAAAAATTTACACATCACTTGGGAAGACAGGCAAACTACTGGAAGAAGCAAAGATCACCAGTGTTGAAGCAATGATTCTTCAACATCAACTTCATTGGACTGGTCATGTTGTGCGAATGCCTGATGATCATCTTCCAAAGCAACTACTCTATTCCGAATTTAAAAATGGAAAGCGTAATGCTGGTGGTCAACAAAAGATGTTAAAGACTGTCTCAAGGCAAATCTAAAAAAATTAAGTATAAACACTGATAACTGGGAAACACTAGCCTGTGAGCGCTTCAGTTGGAGAACAGCCTTTACCAAAGGTGTCATGGGCTTTGAAGACACTCGAACTCAGGACACAAGGGAGAAACGTGCTAAGAGGAAGCCTGCTTGGCAAATGTCCTCACTGTGGAAGGACGGGTGGATCCAGAACTGGCCTCCACAGTCACTTACGGACTCATTGTTAAAACCGTGTTTATGGAAGACAATCTTACTTGGCTACGAGTGATAGCCAAAGAGGAGAAGAAGAAGAAGAAGAAGAAGAAGAAGAAGAAGAAGAAGAAGATTTCAATATATCCAATTAAGTAACCCTTGTCTTTTTCTATGAAAGGCTTCAGGTATTTTGGGGACAGGGAAGCAGGTGGTGGTAAAAGTATCTTGGTGTTTGAAAAAATATCACAGGGAATGAGTAGCTGAACAATATGAGCCATATGAAGACTTGTGGAAAGAGAGAAACTAATGCAAGTTCCTTTTTGTCCTGGTGTGAAATTATTTACTGGAATATATGTATAATAATAATAATAATAATAATAATAATAATAATAATAGAATTTCACAATTCACATGACTAGGGTGCACTTGTTGGGTAGAAAATATTACCACTCACAAATAAATAGATACATTTTCTATTATCCACAGGGGTTATTTGTAATGACCTTAATAATCTCTTATTATTATTATACTGTATGTAGTATGCACCAAATTGCCCCGAGGGAAATAGCATGTTACTTTATTTGTTAACCTCAGGAGTTGTCATTTTCTGCAAAAACCTGGGGCGACAGAAAAACACATTCCCACTAATAATTAGCATTTGGCATTAAGCGACGTTTCTCAAGTAGGCTGGCATGGCCTTAAATAGCACATTGAGAAGTATTGGACAATTTTAATAAGAGGCTAGAGCACGGCTTGGCCTCACCTATTAATTTTGCTTTTGTGAGTATTAAAGTCAGGTCCTCATGGGTGCTTTTTTTGGTTTTGTTTTAAATTTTTAATAGCTCCTGCGATTGATGACATGCTTTGCAGATAGAATAGAAAGGATGTTGGGAAGTTTCTTGGTTTGAGAAGCAGTTATAGAGGAAAACTCTGGCTTGGCAAGTTGCCACTGATCAGTTTTGAAAATGAGAACTGCTGGGATTCAAGCGTGCATTTTTTTGTGTTCTTTTTTTAACACATTAGCATCCCACACTTCCTGCAAGCAGCTCAGTATGCTGTACAGAGAATTTTCTTCATTTTACCTCTCTCAAAAAAACCTCCAAAAAAACTGTGTGACCAGAAAAAGGGTTAGCTGGTAAGATTCACTGCTTAACAAGATTTAAACCCAGGACTCTCATTGTATGTCCACCATCATTCTATCTATAGCACCATATTAGCTGACTAATGTTTGGGTTGCAAGTCAAGCTCTCCACCCAGGAATTCTTTTCAGCCATCGCAGATTTGCAAGGAGATAGTTGTAGTCAAGCTCTCCATGATCCCTGAATCCTTTTCAGTCCTCACATATTTACAGGAAGTTAGCTGGCAATAGCCTGTGAGAATTATATCAATTCTTGTACATCATTCAATCCTTGAAAATGTCAGATGATTATACTCATGAAACTGTTCCAGGGGCATGTGCACACAGAAGCATTTCAAGAATCTATTTGCAAATGCCAACTGATAAGTGTGAGAACCGGCCTTCATGGGCCAGAGATGTGGAACTGCAGAGAGTGATTCAGCACAGAACATAGCATGTCCTTTCAGTCAGCCTCATCTGCTCTGAGCTCCTGGGAAGAAGGCTTAGGTGAGATTTACTTTTCTAGTACAGTGGTAGCTCGGGTTAAGAACTGAATTCGTTCTGGAGGTCTGTTCTTAACCTGAAACTGTTCTTAACCTGAAGCATCACTGCTGAAGCACCACAATGTGGCCTCCTGCTGCTGCCACGCCGCCGCCGCATGATTTCTGTTCTCATCCTGAAGCAAAGTTCTTAACCCGAGGTAATCTTTCTGGGTTAGCGGAGTCTGTAACCTGAAGCGTCTGTAACCTGAAGCGTCTGTAACCGGAGGTACCACTGTATGGCGTGCTGGTTCCAGGCAACAATATTGCATCCTCCTGTTAAGTCTGTAACCTGAAGCGCATGTAACCTGAAGCATATGTAACCTGAAGCGTATGTAACCCGAGGTACTACTGTAAATATATTTTCTCCCTTATTGCCCCCCCCCCTCCATAACCCATTCAGTATCATTAAGATTCAACTGAGAACATTTTCTCCCCTGAATAAAATATACCCACCACCATGGTCTGGACCAAAATATCTATAACAGCGAAGCTAGAAAATTGCAAGCTATCTGGTCTTTCCTCTCTCTCTCTCTCTTGTGCATGCGCATGCACATGACATGTCACTCTGGGCACAGGTCAGACTCTTGATATAAACTCAATTCCAGTAGCAGCTGGTGTTGTGAGGCAAAGCCATGGAGCTGCCATCTCAACCCTGGCATTGCTGCAGCTTACTCTGATAGGGATGGGGCAGCGTAGTGGCAAGGCTGGGGCAGTGTGGATCTACCACAAGGACTAATCTGGCAGCTGCTGATGCATACATGCGCCCTAGCCTCATTACACTCCAGTCCCATCCAGGTAAACTGCAGTTACACTGGTGACTGGAAGGCAGCTACATGGCTCTGTGCCACCACACCAGACATTCCTGTTCGGCTCAGGGAATGAGGGAGGTTGTGCCTTTGAAAACTCAGTATTGAATGCTCAGTATTATATATAAAACATGCTTTGTGTGCAAAAGAACTCTTGTTGAGTTTCCAGCTGAAAGGACCCCGGATTGGGAAAGATCCTTGCCTGAGATGTGGGAGAGCTGCTGCCAGTCAAGGATAATAGAATTAGGCGAGGGACCTATAGTCAGTCTTCACTTGAAGAAAACAATGAATTTCAGTACGCAACTCAACAAATATAAGTCTAACTTTGAAAATCTCCAACCAATATAAGCAGGCATTAATAACACCTATCTATATCCATATTCATAGTTATACCTACACAGTGTTTGATATAATAATAGGCAGCATACAGATGTTTGCCAACACCTCAGGAATGATGCGACTTTCTGCTTATATTTGGAGCTCAAATAATTGAGTAAAGCAGCAACAATGACTGGCTGTGTAGCGTGTTACAAAGGGAAGCAGCCCTTTCGGGGAGGTGGGGTTCCAGTTCCAGAGAAGCCCCCGCAGCAGGAAACAGACGATAGGGACCCTCCGGGTCTAGCATTTTCCCTGATCCAGCTCCCTCCTCTCCGCATTCTTCGATCGAATTCTTCGATCGGGCACTAAGACTTATCCGGAATTTTGGTCACGAGGCACTCTTGGCAAAATGTGACATAGAGTCAGCCTTCTGTCTATTGCCGGTTCATCCCAATGACTTCCATTTGCTGGGATTCAAATTTCAAGGGAAGTATTACATTGTCAAGGCTATGTCGATGGCCTTGCGCTACAGAACCAACTCACCTGGGGTGACACGTTACCTCGGTGACTTTCTACTCGTTGGGAAGCCCAATACCGGCGAATGTGCCTCCCTTCTGGAGGTCTTTTCAGCTTTGGCCCAGGAGCTGGGAGTTCCCCTCACGGCAGATAAGACGGACCCTCAACGCATCTTACTTACCTGGGTATAGAGCTTGACACAGCAGCTCAATCTGCCCGCCTGCCAGAGGGGAAAATAGTTGCCCTTAAGGAAACAATTCGTCAAACCCTTCCAACAACAACAACAACAACAACAACAACAACAACAACAACAACAATAATAATAATAAAGTCGCTCTTAGACAGGTCCAGTCCTTGCTAGATCATTTCAACTTGGCATGTAGAGTAGTTTCACCAGGCCGCCCATTTTGCTCCTGCTTAGCCAGGCTGTCAGCAGGCCTCAAGCATCCACACCATAGAGTAAGACTCCCCAAGTCGGTCAAGGTGGATTTTGAGATGTGGATCAGATTTCTGGAACACTACAACGGAGTCTCCCTATGGCAGGAAATCCTTAATTTGGCCTCTGATTTCCAGGTCCACTGGGCCCTGGGCTTTGGTCTGTTCTTTAAGGGATGTTGGTGCGCGCAACAATGGCCAGCAGAGTGGCAAGGGGAGGCCATCATGCGGGATCTCACTTTTCTGGAGTTTTTTCTCATAGTTGTGGTGGTTCACATATGGACCGAGGAGTTCCGGAATCGCCGGGTGTGCTTCAGAACTGATAACCAGGCCGTGGTTAACATACTGGCTAGCAGTCATTGCGTTCTGAGAGGGGTCTCGCCTACTTCGATCATTTGTGCTCCGATGCCTTGCTTCCGGTCGTTAGCACCTTGGGCTCAGCTGCTGCCAGAACCCTTTCCGGATCACCTACGGAACCTTGGAGACGCGAAGTGATCAAGGGAGTATTAGCGTCTGTTGCACCCTCTACCCTCAGGTCTTATAAGAAAGTATGGTGCGACTTCACAGGTTTCAGGTCCAAAGTATTGTCCCTTTCCTCTATCGTATGAAACTTAGGTCAATTTGCTGGTCCAAGTTTGAGGCCCGGCTGTTCTCTGCGGCATACGCTATAGCCTTCTTTGGTGCCTTGTGGGTTGGCGAGGTGGTAGCAGAAGCTACCTCAAGTGGAACAACGCGCAGCCTCCTCCTGGAGGACGTGCAGGTGTCCAGTTCAGGTGTAATGGTGCGGGTGCATCAGTCTAAGATGGACCAGGGCAGTAAGGGCACCGTAGTACAACTCACGGCCTCCAGTCAGAAGGGCCCATGCCCAGTAAAGGACACCAGGCGATACCTTTACTTCAGACCTCCCGGCCTTGGCTTGCTCTTCATTCATGAGGATGGGACCGGTTGATGAGGCACCAATTCACCAGGGTACTTTGCAAAGCGATAGATGCCTGCGCTTTCCCTTCCAAAAGACTACGCAGCACATTCATTTAGGATTGGTGTGGCCACAACGGCCTCATGGGCCTTCCGGCAGACAGGATCAAGGAGATGGGCCGCTGGAAATCTAATGCCTACAAAAGTATTCTGAGAACGCTCCGCTTACCTGTCTTTTCTTTCTTTATTCTTAGCTGTCTTCGGTAGTCCAGTGTGGATTTGCGGCCACAGTATTGTGCATTGGGCCCGCCTCCAGTCAGCAAGTTCCGGCTTCATGCCTAATCTGCGGCTACCATCGTGGGTGCAAGTTTCCTGGTTGTTGAGAAGGGGCATGCGCTGGCAAGAACTCATGCCACTGCTGAAGGCCAAAGCTGCGCTGTTGGGCCCCCCAACATTCTAATCATTCAGCTGGGTGAGAGCGACCTGGCTAGCAGGAAGAGTGTGGACTTGTTGTGGAACATGAGAAAGGTCTTGGATGAGTTGGCTGCCTTATTTCCCAGAACAACCCTGTTCTGGTCCTCTCTCTTGAAGAGAAAGGTTTGGCGCGGTGCGCATAACATTATGGCCTTTGAGAAATCCAGTAAACTCTTGAATCGCGTGGTAGCGCGCAAAGTGCGTTTTATGAATGGCCTAGTTATATCTCATGATGATATCCAGATTGGCGACCAGACCCTATTCCGGGATGACGGCGTTCACCTTTCAGATTGTGGAAACAACATATGGCTGGCTAACATATCCAATAGTCTCAGGGATTGGTTGCAGCTGTGAGGGTATTGGCGGCGAGCCTTTTGGCTCGGGTGGCGGTTAGGCATTGGAATGTGTTGTTGGTGTTTCGGGGGGCAAGGTGTGGCCATCGCCTTCCCCGACAATTTTGGGTATTCCGCTAAAGGAATCCGGCGGTCGTGGATCCTGTCCGATGCCCGTGTGGCGGGGGGCCATGGCACGACCCTCGGTGACATCAGGAAGAGAGCCTATAGTTGGATTAGCATCAACAGGCTTCCCCTATTGGTGGTTAACCCCTCCTCAGACTCGCCCCTCTACGAGTGGGTGGAGTCTAATGTTCCGTGGTCCAATGCCTAAGCCAATACCTTCTCACATGCTGTAATCAATAAAGTTGTGGCCTTTACCTTACCCATTAACCTTACATTCTGTGTGCACGTGTCTTTATTCCCCAAGCGGGGATCGGGTCCTCGAATCACAAACCATTATTAAAAAAACGAGTCGTTATCTTTCTTTGCCATTTTGCTGTAGTCTTAGAACTCCCCGTTGTCCCCTTTCAAAAGAAAATTATTGTTTATGCCAACAAGCATAATTTAGTTTTGATTTTTTTTCCCCTTGCTGAATGGTTTGGGGGCGAGTAGGCTATCCTGTGAAAGAAAAAAAATATCTAAATAAGAAGTTGAAGTGTGATACCTTATTTGATACGATTCTCTCTTTATGTGTGTGCAGTATATGAGCACCCTATGAGAGGGAGGTTGCCATGGCAATTACTCATTATTTTCCCATAGTAAGCTAGATACTTTTTACCAAAAAAAAAAGAAGAGAAAATCAGCCAATGTACCTTTTTAGTCCCTAGAGATACCTAATTTATATTGTACACAGAGCTTTCCTTTTTCACACTTCTCTAAATATTTAGTGGACTGCAGAATACCATAATCCCAATGACTCTTAACAAAATGGCCAATGTACTTCTTGAAAGCAGTTCCCAGCACACGGTTTGAGTCAAATATACTGGCTAATGCATCTCTCATTCCCTTCTATTAGAAAGGCTTTATTGCCGTGATGCCTCAGGCAAATCTAAAATGGAATGCGGGGTGGGGAAAACATCTAAAATATTTTGATCAAGGCAGATGCAAAGAATCTCAGGTAGCTCAGAAATGGAGGTCATTTGCAACTGTAATATGTATATGAAAAACCGAGCATTTCCCTGCCACTGTTCATCATTGCTATCTATATACTAATAAATAGTGATCTGAGTCATCCTGTACATGTGCTTATGTACGAGATACCTACCCATCACACCCAACACCCACACACATACTGCAGGTCAGGCGTTGGGCAGAATCTGAGTGAGTAGCTTAGAAGCCGAGTGAGTAGCTTAGAACCCCTGCACAATTCAGTTATACCCTTATTGCAGATTGAAAGGCTGTGCTGAAAAGAATGCAGCTTACAGAAGCCTTCAATGTAATCCACTGTTCAATTTCAGGCTGTAGGTGTTTATTTTTTAAAAATAAAAAATAAACATCACCTTAAGACAGATAATAATAATAATAATAATAATAATAATAATAAGCTGCCTATCTGACTGGGTTGCCACAGCCACGCCGGGCAGCTCCCAACAGGGACTCCTGTCTTTGATGTTAATTTTTATTTTTCAGTCCCCTCTGTCACATTCTCAAGTAACACACGCAAACACAGAAGCTCCATGAAAAACTTAACATGCTCAGTTGCAACAGAATGAGGACTGAAAGTTGAAGGAGGAATAGAAATCTAGTAGGAGGGGAAATGGAATGGAGTATCCTGCACAGGGGAAAGTCATACTCCAAAATTTGCTGCAGTTCCCCACCACTCTGTCCTCCATCTCTCCCAACTCCCCCTACTTCATATCCAAATTTCTCTTTTTAGCAGCGGCCGCAAGAGGCCCCATTAGCGAAAGCACGCCTCTAGTTAAGAACAGTTTCAGATTAAGAACGGACCTCTGGAACGAATTAAGTTCGTAACTAGAGGTACCACTGTAAATCTCTAGAGCCTTGGCCAAACTCTTATTTTCTTGATCACAAGCCTTTTACAGTTAAACAGGCTTTAAATTGTTCCCCTTCCATATATCTGGTGTGTGAGAATGAAACTGCCACTCTAGTTTGCATTCGATAGTTTTAGCCTAACAGAGAAAAACACATCAAAAAGTGAACCGCCTGTGGGGCCACAGACTAAAAATTAGGGGAGCAGAGGGAGTGAACTGTGAGCAGGGAAAGGAACAGCAACAGGGCTGGGGGGGATCTCTGGTAGTCAGCTGTGGGTCCCCCTTGGCATAGGGGTCTCAGCAGTGATTCTAGCCCTGATAGCTAGTATTTTTGGAGGAGAAAGGGCAAGCCACGTGTCTCATATAGCACATTTTCATACACCTTTTACTGTCTTCTAAATGAGCATTCAAACATCAAATTTGCATCTTTAAAACAACAAAGCTTCTATAAAAACCCTTCTTCAATTTTATATATATATATATATATATATATATATATATATACACACAGTGCACATTTCTAAGCTTCTGGTACTTCATAAAAACAAGGATGGCTCCCTCTGGCTTTGACCAAGTGTCTTCCTCAGCTTCTTCCCAGTACCATTTCATTATTGATGGATATGTAATACGAACCACTTTCTTAAAAGAGCAAGCCAAACAGAAACATAGAGTGCAATCCGGACAAGTTAGGCACTTGCAAGACCTACTGATTTCAATCTGAGAGTTAAAATCATTTCAGCTTAACTGTGTGCTTAACTTTGGCTGTACTCTGCTCATAAAGCCAGCTGCGTTAACTTTCTAATCAAGCATCGTTTATCTGTTTTAGGCACCCCACCCACCACAAATAAATGTAATCGTTCCACTAAAGGCAATGGCAATAATTTAATACGTTTATGTTAGTGGCACTTCTAAGTGAGGACAGAGACTGTTTGCAAATGCAATGCAATGCTGACAATTATACATGCATTAGGCACATATAGAGTTACATTTGAACAGAATGTCGACAATAGCTATTAAGTGGTTGTCTCGCCGTACCTTGTCCAGCTCTGAGTCTTCTAGAACAGCCTTCAATGATGTGGTGCCCTCCAGATGTTTTGAACTACAACTTCCACCATCCTCAAGCAGCAGATGGGAGTTGTGGTTTAAAAAACATCTGGAGAGCACAAATTAGTTCTAGGGCACAAGCTCTCTCTTCTACATTTTGGACAGGTTCAAGTTCCCCTACAGTGTGAGGGTCAATCACTGGCACCTCCAATTAAAAGAACACTGGGAAATGTGGGAATTAAACTCTAGTTCCCATTTAGCAGAGTTTTGCGTAAGTCAGCGCAAAGGGTCGTTTGACCCTTTAATTAGTTCTCTCTTTCCCTCCTATAAAAATTGCGCTAGACACTCTCTTTTAGAGTATAAGTATCCACTAACTTTTACTTACAAATTTGCACTTGCAGATTAAATATACAATGCAGGAAGGTGATACCTCAGTTGCTAAAACATAGATAGATTTGTATCTAAGACTAACAAACCTTCACAGACAGACTGATACTCTGACTCTGAGGCAGACAGCAGCACAACAGACAGCATACCTGCTGCTCTAACTGTTAAGACGGTTCTACTAACTGTCATAACTGTACCAACTGTCCTAACTGCCAGTTTACATATGTGCATTTTGGATGCTAACATCCCAGAGGAAAGACCACTGCCTTCAGATCTTCTGATTGCTGCTCTAAGCCATTGGGAAAAAATCAGCACATACCAGGGGCAGGGATTGGTCTGACTGTCTATGTAACCCTTTACTTAATTAATTAGGTAAAGGGACCCCTGACCATTAGGTCCAGTCGTGACCGACTCTGGGGTTGCAGCGCTCATCTCGCTTTATTGGCCGAGGGAGCCGGTGTACAGCTTCCGGGTCATGTGGCCAGCATGACTAAGCCGCTTCTGGCGAACCAGAGCAGCGCATGGAAACACTGTTTACCTTCCCGCCAGAGCGGTACCTATTTATCTACTTGCACTTTGATGTGCTTTCGAACTGCTAGGTTGGCAGGAGCAGGGACCGAGCGACGGGAGGTCACCCCGTCGCGGGGATTCAAACCGCCAACCTTCTGATCGGCAAGTCCTAGGCTCTGTGGTTTAACCCACAGCGCCACCCACGTCCCTAATTAATTACATATAGCTACTATTTCTATTAGAGCGGCCTTGGGAATCCATGGCCCTCCAGATGTTGTTGGACTCCAACTCTCATTAGCCACAACTGGCATGGGAAATGGTCTGGGATGAGAGGAGCTGTAGTCCAGCAAAATCCCCACCCCTGTGTTGGAGGATTATGTTGGGGGTCCTCATGTATATATAACCTGCAGCCAACGCACATCCCTCCTACTGCTTTCATGGTAATATATTGCTAATTCAACATGCAATGAATTACAGATGAGGAATATATTTCACCTAAAATGCAGGAAATGAGATGGCATGATGGTGGTGATGAAGGAGGATGGGGAGGATTTGCTTATCGCCCATAGCAATTCCTTCTTCACACGCTGCTATTTTCTAAGACTTTATTCCTCACTCCATTAGTGATTTCTGCACAGCAAACCCTGCCCTCTGCTGGCTAAATAAAATCAAAGCTGCATCTGTTTCAGTTCTGTGGTTTTGGACCCTATATTTGCATTTAGATTGCAATGAAAACACTGGCGCTATTTAGAATGCTTTCGTGGGAACTTCATATGGTACACTCCGCGGGGCCTTAATCAGGCATAATAAATAAGATCGTGCTTTTTTCAATCAATTTTTCAGTTTCATTATACGGTACAAAAGTGATGAATATGGCACTGAGATGCTCATATGCAAATTATGCATTTCATATTCATACATCTTATCCTAGCCCCTCCAAAAAAAGAGATCCCTGTGCCCTTGATTTGCTCAAAAAGTATGGATAAGCACGAAATGCTTTTAAAAAAATTTCTGAAGTAGGAAAAAAAATAGTTCAATGCAAACAAAACAAGAGCAAAAGAAGCTTAGTACTTCCAGCTTTCTAAAGACCCACTTAAAAATACAATTGTATTTATTTATTAAGAATGAAACTGCTTTTGGATAGAACTATGTCCAAAATAGATTACAAAAAAAATAGACTTCTGATTATAATGTTTACGTGCTCAAAAGGTTGAGGATGTCCTTATTGGGGGATGAGGGACTATGGAAATGATTTAAAATAATATTTGATATTAATATGGATTTATTATAGAGCTTCAGCTGTTAGAATGAACTTTTTATTCCATGTCTCCTTGATTTCATAGAAAACCTCTTAATCAAATGTGAAGTGCCTATAATATAAAAGTATCCTTGAGGACTACTGACTTGGTGAGAAAGGAAAAATCTGTGTGCGCAATATTGTGTCTGAGGAAATGATGGGAATGTTATAGAAAACTGAGAGAATGGGCAGTCTATAATGCATTGTCATGTTTTTTCAATGGGCACAGCCCCATTATTACTCAAATGCATCCACATAGGACACCTCAACAGCACATTTTACTTGCAGCACGATCTCAAGTATATTTATTATGATGCAACCCCATTGAGTTCAGTAGGGCAAAGGGTTGTATCCAATGCTGCGCTATGTGGATGTTCCATCAGCACAATGATTTCTGCTGGTCCAATAGAACGTTTTCCCCCTCTTGCCCTGCCACATGTCCCCTAGATGTGTTCCAGGGGTTCCCCCAACTCTCTGGCGCAAACTTGGGCAGGTTGCAAGGAACACACAGGGGGAGGAGGTGGGGAAACAGTCCCATTGCACGTGGAAATCCTTGCCCTGACAGTATGAGTTACAGTGGTACCTCGGGTTACAGACACTTGACTCCGCTAACCCAGAAATAGTACCTCGGGTTAAGAACTTTGCTTCAGGATGAGAACAGAAATCACGCGGCAGCGGTGTAGCGGCCACGGGAGGCCCCATTAGCTAAAGTGGTACCTCAGGTTAAGAACAGTTTCAGGTTAAGAACGGACCTGCAGAACGAATTAAGTTCTTAACCCGAGGTAAAAGGTAAAGGGACCCCTGACCATTAGGTCCAGACATGACTGACTCTGGGGTTGCGGCACTCATCTCGCTTTATTGGCTAAGGGAGCCGGCATACAGCTTCCGGGTCATGTGGCCAGCATGACTAAGCCGCTTCTGGCGAACCAGAGCAGCGCACAGAAATGCTGTTTACCTTCCTGGTGGAGCGGTACCTATTTATCTACTTGCACTTTGATATGCTTTCGAACTGCTAGGTTGGCAGGAGCAGGGACCGAGCAATGGGAGCTCACCCTGTTGTGGGGATTCGAACCGCCGACCTTCTGATCAGCAAGTCCTAGGCTCTGTGGTTTAACCCACAGCGCCACCTGAGGTACCACTGTACTAAACAGTAAACATGTGTAGTGTTTTAAGGGTATATCCAGACAGCAGTTTCCTTAAGTGTGCCAACAGTGTGACGCGGTAGCTAAAAAAGCCAATGCAATTCTGGGCTGCATCAATAGGAGTATAGCATCTAGATCAAGGGAAGTAATAGTGCCACTGTATTCTGCTCTGGTCAGACCTCACCTGGAGTACTGTGTCCAGTTCTGGGCACCACAGTTCAAGAAGGACACTGACAAACTGGAACGTGTCCAGAGGAGGGCAACCAAAATGGTCAAAGGCCTGGAAACGATGCCTTATGAGGAACGGCTAAGGAGCTGGGCATGTTTAGCCTGGAGAAGAGGAGGTTAAGGGGTGATATGGTAGCCATGTTCAAATATATAAAAGGATGTCACATAGAGGAGGGAGAAAGGTTGTTTTCTGCTGCTCCAGAGAAGCGGACACGGAGCAATGGATCCAAACTACAAGAAAGAAGATTCCACCTAAACATTAGGAAGAACTTCCTGACAGTAAGAGCTGTTCGACAGTGGAATTTGCTGCCAAGGAGTGTGGTGGAGTCTCCTTCTTTGGAGGTCTTTAAGCAGAGGCTTGACAACCATATGTCAGGAGTGCTCTGATGGTGTTTCCTGCTTGGCAGGGGGTTGGACTCAATGGCCCTTGTGGTCTCTTCCAACTCTAGGATTCTATGATTCTATGATTCTCTTCTATGATTCTATGATTCTAAGTCTAATTGCAATGCTTGGGTACTAACCAAAGGAGTGGGAAGCCAGTACTTATGAAGTGCAAGTAGCTCTGGGGAAGCATTATCATAGAGTTCTGCCAACCATGCTGGTTGTAGGAATGGGTGGAATTGCTCAGCTCTGCTATTTGAAGTTCAGAATGACTACCTAATGATGAACCCTGACCCTGGAGTCTCACAGGAATGGAGGAACACTCAGGTGAGGTTTGTTTATTTGCTACATTTATACCCCACCCTTCCTCCCAAGTGAGTCCAGGGCAATAAATACTTCTGTGTTACAAAATACAATTAAAAATGAAAGCAAAACATATTTGAAACATTTTTAATTCCATTAAAAGCATCTAAATAGAACACTAAAACTAAAACAAATTTAAGAACAAACATAACCAAATCACATAACTGGATGAGCCTGCCAAAAGAGAAAAGTTTTCAGCAGTTGTCTAAAAGAGTAGAGTGATGGTGCCGGACTTATGTCATAAAGCACTGGGTTTGGGTGCATTATAGAAATGCTTCTGCCTGCACCCAAAAATATGGTTCTAACCTGGATTCTGGTGGGAATGGTACTTCACACATCCTTAACGAGTTGTGGTGCTGGGCCTATTATGGAAGGCTATGGAAGACACACTAATCCAAAAAGAAGGCAAGAATATTAACATCTCTCTCAAATAAGAATGGAACAGTAACAGGAAAGTCCTGGCTCCACACAGATGCAAGTAAATCCGGTGCCACCCATATAATGTCATAATCCACATAGGGTCTGTTCATAAATGTCTGCATTTTGAGCAAATAAATTGATCCTAATTGGATTTTTATTCTCAACACCAACAATAGGTGCCCTTGGACTTCATAGATTTCAGCAATGGCAATGTACAATCTAATAAGAAGGGAAAGGTCAACAGTTCACTTCGATTCCCAGTCACACACAAGGCAATTCGGAGCACCTGAGACAACAAAAGAACCTGCAGCTGAGGTCATAATATTCACAGCTCACACTATGCATTGTATCCCTCCCTCACTTGCACGAGCGCAGGAAGGTACAAGTATCACCCAATGTAATGTTTGAACCACTTTTGCTGCTACTGCAGCTTTGCATTGCAGACAGGAATGGTAAAGCCAGGCTCTTTTGGGTTTCGTGATTATATGCCTGTTTAAAATCAAGGGTAAAAGAAGATCAAAATGCGATGAGTTTGCAATCTAGTGGGTGGGTTGGCAGAAGATGTGGGATATTATGACTGGGGAATTTTAAAAGCAAAGAAGGCAGTGAACAGGAAGAAGTGTTAGGAATCAAAGGAAGCAAGGAAGAACAGCATCAGAGACAAATGCACAAATTGTCCTTGGTAAACATGCAAGGAACAGGAGTACAATTAGCATTGTGTAATCATTATTGGCAATCTAATTTGGACCATTTCAGGGAGAAAGGATGGAAATTATGGTAACAGATGCACAACTTTATGCATGTGCTGTTTTTAAGTTTATTATAGCTGCAGG